GTGAACTTACTTTGGACAGATGGGATCAACAGGAGTCTCATCAAGCAGATCATAAATATAGTTGTTGTAAATTTCAAAGTAAGACACAAACACTGCATAGCTATTGTCCTCATCCACCTGAAAACAAATCAGTCACATTTTTTGATAATATATTAACTGAAAGTGAGGGTGCAAAAGTATATGTACATGTACAGGCACAGGTTTGTACATATTTTACCTGAACATTGCATAGTTTTCAACTCACTGACATTAGGCTTTAGAAATACAGCCCTTGTATCATACTTGACTTGTCTGGCCTCAAGAGTCCTCATGGGCTCATGTAAGTCTTGAAACTGATTCTATTTTACTTTTTAAAAAGAAACTTGAATGCATGTCTTAACTTTATCATATTTTATTTATATCGCATCTTTTGCATTTAAGTAGCATTGTTTTGTATAGCTTTTACATTTTTATAATATCTTCCACAGGGCTGTTCTGAAAACCACTGTATGTGAGATCGGCCCCAGTATTACTATCATTATCATTATCATTGTCATTGTCATTGTCATTATCATTATTATTATTATTACCTGTCTTCAATTTAACAAGCAAGTATAAACCACACATACCTAAGAAAACTAGTTTTGGAGCTTGCCCTTCAGCAAGCTGTAATTCTGATGTACTATCCCTTAAGTCGTTCTCACAAGCCCCCCAAATATTTCTCAGTGATTTACTTCAATACGGTGCACACTGTGAATCTACATGTACTGTAGCTATACTGTAAATACACATGTTGTGTTCAGAAACAGATTTAAAAAGTAAAACAAAAATCAGGCACAATAATGCTACTGCATAGCATGACATCAATGATGTTTGGCTAGAACCAGAGACATCACTGATTTTGGCAAGCAGGGGGAGGAGAGGTGTGGAATCAAGTATGTGAAAGAATCTGTTTTCTTTAGACCATACTTTGCATACAATATGCATGTACATGGTACATGTAAAATTAAGAACTTCCAACTTACATCAGAGATAAGTCCAGTTTCAGGTACTCTTATCAAATCAGCAAAGTCATTATCAGCATTCCTAGACAAAAAAAAAATTAAAACAAAAAAAATTACCCTGAATTATAGCAAATTGAATCTTGCTACATCGTGAATCTTGACTACTTAGTTCCTACTTATCCCAATCGTGCTCCACAGGACACCTAAGGCCATTCAGAACAACCCCTAGGTATCTTGGTCTCTTGCAGATGCTGTTGTGCCCCCCCATGACTGTCATCCTATCTTGACCTGGGTAATTTTGACCTCCCCACTATTTCAAACTCAAATCCCTTGGATATGCTTTCTCAGCTATTTCTATTGGCTGAGCCTGTTCCAGGCTCTC